TTCGTAACATACCGAACCCTTGCCTGGTTCCTAACAGTCCATCAGACTAAGTGGATCGGTACCACACCTCCCTTTTGGGACGTGCAGTTTGCTCAGTAAGCAGCAGTCTGGGGCAAGACTCACTCTGGACTGGCATCAGTGGAGACCTTATACCAGAACAGATCTTGCAGATCCTGAAGAGGAGGTTATTGGTCTTAGCCAGCAGTTTAGGGAAGTTATGACGTTTTCATTGTGGTAGAGACTCACTGTAGGTTCTAGGTCCCAAGAAGACTATGCAAAAGGATTTCTAAGCTTGCAGGGTAGTTAGTTAGCCACTTTTTGTTTCATTTCAGATGGAGGAATGCTGGCTTTCAAAGACCAGGTGGAAAGTGCATCGATTTTTACGTAGTATGGCAAAGTGAAATTGAAGTTGCCCCAGGCCCAGGATTAGAGCTGGGGGCCTATTTATCATTTATTTTGTGATGTTCATAAAGCTGTTCAGTATTCGGATGGTGTTATCATTAAAATGCAGCTGATATTATTATTCTCATATTTCCACAGTGTCAGTGTTACTGAGATAAAAACCAAAACTGCCCACTTAGAAAAAGTGTACCTTGAAGGCAGAAGAAATCTTCTCTTTCTTGTATCTCTTTCACTGGAGAAATAAAAGCCATGCAACTGAATTATTTTCAAACATCTGTATCGAGCAGTGGACTTTCACCCTCTCACTTGTGTTGAACTTGAATCTCAAGTCTTTTTTCTTGACGATAAGCCTACATTTTTGATTTCTGAGATTCAACCATGTTATTCCAATTTGTGCCTTTTGCACAGCCCTCACCCATTCATCCCAGTTGGTGGGTTAGTCCCTTGAAGTGTCTTCCAGAGCTATATTTCTCAGTAGCCATTGTTTAGTCACACTGTGTGGTGTGTATGTGTGTTCACTCCGCTTTTGTTTCAGAAGAAGGATTAATTCCCCCAGAGGTTCTGTCCATGTTTTGGTGTTGCCATGTTTCTTTTCTAAAGCAGCCTTTCATCTTTACTGTCAGATTAAAGGGAGGAAGCCTCAGATCATAATATGAATGGTGGGAAAGGACTTAAGTCATGCAGGGAATGCGCTGGGAGACAGGCGTGCAAGCTTTATTACAGGAGAGAAAAGGGTGAAGGACTGTACAATTTGAACTGTGTGTGGACTAACAGTTCTAGGAACCCTTCTACTCCAGCTCCCCCTGTGCAGCTCTGTTTGTAATAGTGACTGTGGGAAAAAATTAAATCAGAAGTCACTAACTTGCAAGTCACTGGCTTTTTTTGTGGTTCTCTGCAATAGCAGCAGACTGGTCCCAGTGATCCAAAGGTCCTCCTGTATTGGATTTTGTGGATGACTCCTATAACTGGTCTGAGTTTCCCTGTCAAATGCTGGTGTAGACAAACTACAAGAAGCTTGGAAGCATGTACCGGTCATCTGTTCCTCTAATTTTTTCACTTGTAAAGAGCAAGCCTTTTTGCCATGAATCAAGGAGGGTGAAACTTGAAGTGACATGACAACAAAGGATGTCCAGTGGTTGCACTATTTTACAGTCTTCAATCTGAAAATGAGAGTATGATTTGTTGCTGATAATTTTGTTGTTGATTATGACATGATTATATTTGGTATGTCTTCTTCAGGCTGGGAAGAACTGGGAGGGGGAATTATTGGGTGTTTTGTTTTCTAAATAAAAGATCACGAGTCTTGTTATGCACCTTAATTAGCACCTTCAGGTTTCTGCCTTATACAGGAACTGATGAAACCTGTTGAACTTAATGCGAATCTTCCTGTTGACTTCAGTAAGCAGCAGACGGATCCAAGATCTGTGCTGAGCTGACTTCCATATGTTTTAACAAACGCAATTCCACCTCCTCTCTCAAGGCTTTGTCTCACTCAGCTTCGTTACATGCTGACTTCCCGGTGTGTACTGTTCTCCTTTCTGACCTATTTCAAGCAAGAGCTTCTTTTCTTCTCCACACTTCAGAAAGATAATGCATGTTTGGCTAGTGCACGTATTTGCAGGCATCACTAAAAAATAATTGCGTAAGGAGAAATTTTGGCTTGGCCAGCATGGTTACTAGCTCAGCTTACTTAGTAAGCAAGCTTGGTGGATGCACTCCTCCCTCCCCACCCTCCTCCTCCTCCCAGGGGCAGAGCCCAAGTTCCAAGTCTCACGCAAGCTAGCCAGTAAAGTTCAGCTTCTCTCTGAAAGCAGCAAGTAAACCAACAAGGGGACTGTGACTGCGTGCAAAAGGGTTAGTAGGAATGCTGCACTTTTGTTCCAAGAGGCTGCTGCCTCTAATCAGGCTGTTTATATTTACAGCTTTCCCATTCATCCCTACTGAGCAAAAAGCACGCCTCTGAAAACAGAGCCTGAGCATTGCTTTGTGTTAGACAGACTACATGTAGTATCTGATTGCTAAATGAAGAGACTTGGAGGCCACAGACTCACTTTTTCTACCTGTGATAAGGCACGCACCTGCCCTTAGCAAATACATAATAATTAGTGATGCTCTGGACAGTGTTTGTGAACTGGCTCCCTGCTCACAAGTGCCCTTAGTCTCGATTTCGGACTCATAGTCACAAGAGAACTGCAGGGATGTGTGCTGGAGTGACGCTTGCATGCCAGACATTCCTTATCATAAAGATGAAGAGGGGCGAGAGGTTTCCGGGTGGGGGGAATAATGGGAGGGTTGTCCTTTCCTTCAGTTTGCTGGGGCCTGCCTACTGATTTAAATTGTAAATAATGTTACAAACCAGCTGCGGCAGTTTGTTGTTTCTTAGGAGAAGCATCTGATTTCTACTAATATATACTAGAAAAGGGGGAAAAAAATTTATAAATCTCTACCAATTTAACATCAATCCCTTTTCATAACTTAATAGTTATATTAACCACAGGTAGGTGATGTCAGTTCCCTTGGGACACTGTGATCTTACTTTTTTAACAGTACAAAACTTGTTTCCTTTTCCTTCGCTTTCCACTACCATAAACTATTATCATCACCCGTGATGTTTAAAGACTGTATGGTGGCATGTGTTTGGTAGGGTTGGCAGGACAGGTTCCCTGCTGTCATGGTATCTAATACAATCAAGCTCACTCTTAAAATTAGCTAGGTTTAGTCCTCTGGCCTTCTGTGTAAAAGGCCATTCATTCCTCTGGGGGTGGAAGTCAACTCATTTCCAGCCTGAGCGTGTTCCAAGACAGAGTCACAGAAGGGCTGAGGTTGGCAGGGACCTCTGGAGGTCATCTGGTCCAACCCCCCTGCTCAAGCAGGGCCACCTAGAGCCAGTTGCCCAGGACCATGTCCATGTGGCTTTTGAGTATCTCTGAGGATGGAGCCTCCACCACCTCCCCAGGCAAGCTGTGCCAGTGCTCGGTCACCCTCACAGTGAAAAAATGTTTCCTGATGTTCAGAGGGAACCTCCTGTTTTCCAGTTTGTGCCCACTGCCTCTCGTTCTGTTACTGGGCACCACTGTAAAGAGGCTGGCTCCGTCCTCTTTGCACCCTCCCTTCAGGTATTTATATACATTGATGAGATCCCCCCTGAGCCTTCTCTTCTCCAGGCTGAACAGCCCCCGCTCTCTCAGCCTTTCTTCATAGGAGAGATGTTCCTGTCCCTTAATCATCTTCATCGCCCTGCACTGGTCTCACTCCAGTAAGCCCAAGTCTTTCTTCTGCTGGGGAGCCCAGAACTGGACACAGTACTGCAGATGGGGCCTCACCAGTGCTGAGTAGAGGGGAAGGGCCATGTCCCTCGGCTTGCTGGCAGCTCTCCTCCTACACAGCCCAGAATAAAAGGGCTCCATGAAAGACAGTTTACACCCATTTGTTCTTGTGCTAGTGTTTTCCTTAAACTTGAGCAGCACCATGCTTTTAATTTGTCCAAAAGGAAGTATAAACAGCCATATCCCCTCTCAGTCTTCATTTTGCTAGACTAAACAAACTGAACTTTTCTAGTCTGCTCTTGTTTGATAATATTCACCACTCCCCAGTCCTCCCAGTAACCCTTTTGTGGGTCTGTTCCAGTTTGAACTCCTCTTCCCTAAATGCTGTACTGAGTTTTCCAGGTGGAGTCTCAGCAATGTTTTTTACCTCCTATTTCACTGTAGGAAATAACTGCAGTGATAACAGCCCCAACTACATGTTTTTGTTACAGTGTCACTTGGTTGCAAATCCAGGCTGAATACACACAGCCCTGCCCTCCCCAGTATAAACAAATTTAGGAAGAAGGTATTTGAGTCGGGGGGGGGTCTAGTTATTTCCTGAGGTGAAAAAGGGATGTCATACAGGTAATTAACATCAATAGCAACAAAAATGTAAATAAACCCATCAGTGTATCATTTCTTTCCCTGACAGTTACAGAATGTGAGCTACACAGCCCACAGCTAGCTGTCGGAGGAGGACAGAACTATTGCCTGTATCTGAGGTTAGGATTGCAGGGATGTTAAATTGCCTGCCAGAAACCAAATCCCTCCCGAGATGACAGAAGGGTTCACTTTGGATTCAGTAAAAACTTCAGTCAGACTTCCAGAGTGTAGGGAAATGTATCTGAGCAATATAAAGAATTATTCTTGCTACTTTCTTCCCCTTTTTTGCTTCCCACCAGTTTCTTGGCTATAGCTGCATTAGTCTGCTTCTAAGCTCATTTATTTCTATTAATATGACTTTTCATCTGTAGGTAGCAATGACCATTAAAGTTCCCATGGTAACTTGAAACTATTTCTTCCTGCGAAGTGAGAGGAGATGGGGAACAGAGCTCCCTGCCCCCTGTTCTTCAGTGAGCGGAGCAAAGGGATTATCCTCTGCAGAATGGTCATGGAATTAAACGTAGCTAAAATTAAGCAGCTCCTCTCACAGACGGGTTAGTCTCATCCACTGTGCTGAACATTGGGCTGAAGTTTCTAAAAGACTATTGCAATATTGTATCAGAGGCAGGGAGAAAACGTGGGATCTGATCAGTGAAATTGCATTTGATTTCCCCTCCCACACACACCAAGGAACGTTTCACCTTGATGGAGACGTGGCTGCGCCTGCCTCGGGGACATTGGCTGTAATCGTTCACCTCTGATCCCAGAGTGTGATCTACTCTCGGGCACCCAGGCTGGGTGTGGAGGCAGAAGCAGGGTCCTAGCAGAGCTTAGGACCCCATCCAGGTAAAGCCAAACAGGTCATTCAGAACATATGCCAATTAGCCTGTAAGAACAGATTTAGTCTATTCACCACTGAAAGAGCCCGTGAGCCAACTCTGTTCAGAGCTGAGGTAGGTTTAAACTGCAGCGCCTGTTAAAAGCAATGTACTATGCAGGAATCTAAATACATAGCTGTCAGCCACCTCATGTAGCTTTGAGCAGCATCTCTCAGGCAGGATAATGTTTAGGTGCATATATTCTGCATTTATTCCCAACACTGGCAATTAAAACTACTTCTTTACTTTCTGAGTGTCAGAAAAGCATTTGTCACCACAGCCCCTTTCTGGGCCCATAGTGTTGCCATAAATACGCTGGACATAGAGGACAATTTTCATGCCTCCAGCACAGCTTTAGAGACAGTCAAAACAGATCTCTGATAAGACAGAGGTGGCAAACATCCAGCCTGACTAACGTCCAGCTTGAATTTGGAGCAAAAAGGAAATGGAAAAGCAGCCTGAAAACTGCCCTCAGCTAGGTCACTGGGTAAAATCCTGCTCTCATGTACTCTGTTGTACATGTCTATCTCAACGTACCTGTCTGGTGGGGTTACTCGCCAACCCTAGCGATGTGTGTAAGACAGAAATTTGGTTCCCAATGTACAGTTATGGGCAGGCACTTGCTTCCCTAGGTGCTCTCTCAATGCATTTTATTCAATCAAAAATACAAGTTTATGTGCATAATAGGACACTCATTTGTGGCCTCTCACAAATATAAAGTCATATTTTATCCCACCCCTCCAATATGAAATATTTTTCCCTTCTAGAATGTCCAGGCCTCCTTCCTATATGCTAAATGCTATTTAAAAAAAATCCACAAATTATTATCCATTCTTCTTTTTCACCATCATCAGTGGAAAATTTATCAATTTTGTTAGAGCTATGATTTCTTCCTATGATTTTTCCTAATGTACGTGTAATATGTTAGATTATTAGCCTTAAAAATATCTGTTGGTTTCATTATACAGTATTTGTTCCTTTTACCTCTTTCTCTCAGACTGGATGATGCTGTAATTTGTTTGGCTTGAAAATAAAGTTTTGTTTTCTCTGTTAATTCTCATTTAAAAGAATGCTCATTAAAAATTTGGAAACCCAAAGAAAACTTTAATTTTGGTCAATCTTATAAAATACATGCCTTGGATTACATTTAGTAGTAAAAAACCTTCATTGTAAGCATCTTTTGGACTTCAGGTGCTATAAAATTAAACACTTTGTCTATCTTTTGACACTTTCAACACCAAAATAAAAACACTGCTTTGCTTCCTATGCTCTCACTGCTGCCAGCTCCTCCTCTTCTCCAGCTCCTGTGACACGAGATGAAGTTAGATGTGCCAGTGACAGCGTGCACCAGTCAGGCACAGCAAGATATGTGCTGGGGATGCTGCTGACAAGATGGATATTCTTGGCAGACACCGTGACATTTCTCCCTGCCCTTCACCCAAGAAAGGAGGTCAGTGGAACACTCTGCCCTACCGGCGGGGCTTCAGGCATCAACCCTGGGCGCACAGCGTCGCTCTCCCGTTTACATGTCATAAAGCAGAGCAATCAATCTTCCTGCTCAGAATATATGGGAAGACATGGGCATGCCTTCATGTCAAATCACATTATGCCTTCGGAAGACAAGGAGCAGTTGGAACTTCCCATCAGACTGAAGTAAAGAGCGATATTTTCTTTACGCTCTTTGCTGAGCTGTGGATCAGTGGACAAATGTATGGAAATGCTGAAAGGGAAGAAACAAAAATGACACAGATGGAAAGCAAGAGACCGACAAAGATTCAATCCTGGCCCTAGTAAAGCTGCAAAATTCCTGTTGACTGCAGTGGTGCAGAACCAGAACAAAATAGGGGGTGGAAGAAAGCAGGGACAGGGAAAGGAAATCAGAGAAGGATGGCTTCAGATGATTTTATCCCCGTGTTCCCAACCTTGTTCCCCTCACCCACCATCAGTCTCCACTTTCTCCAGCTCTCATCTTTTCTCGTTGCTGAAGCAGTAAGCTGTCATTTCTCATCTGGTATCTCCCATCCATCCATCAGCATGTCTGGGATAGCTGGCAGCTAATTCTGATGGGTGAACAACCCATCAGTATCCCTTGCCAGTTCCCATGGGGCATGTAAACTGATCAAGCTAACAAATGCAGACATGCTCATCCACAGTTGCTACCGGTAGCAAAGACGAAGATGTAAAGGGTTCCATATGGTAGCTGTGTTCAGTGAGGAGATACAATGCCAGAAGAGAAACATCTCATCTGCCTGAATTGCACTCACTTCCCACCAGTCCTTCACACATTGCTCTTTGGGCTACCTAACGATCTCATGGGGCCACTATAACGTAACTCTCTTCGTATTCCGCCGTAATGCCAAAGGTTTAGTGGAGACCAGAAATATATTCTGCTACATGCATACTGCCTAATAGATGGTGCCAGGTCATGGTACAGATGTTGCCAAAAGCCCTTCCTCAAGAGGACAGAAAAACTTGGTGGAACCAGTATCTCATTCTTGGCAGTTGTTTTTTCAGGGCACACTGATGTGAATGAAAGAGCAAAAATCCTTTTCCCAATTATCTAACACTAGAAAAAAAATCAGGATTTCACAAGAAGAGAACAGCTACAGTCTGTATTAGAACAAACTAGGTCGCATCTCCCTTTTCAAACGCTTTTGCATGGCTGGCTTTCTGTACCTGCAAATGGTGGAATATAATTCACAAGCTTATTCCAGACGTTAGTGAAAACTTCTTCCCAAGACTCTTCCCACAGCCAAAATCAAAGTCAATCTCATAAAAACTCCCTTTAGTTTCTCTTCAGCTATATAACATTGTTTTTATTTAATCTTGCAATGATGTAGTTTTTCCACTGAGAGGTGGAAAATCGAGACGGAAGGGAATATTTTCCCTTCCATCTGTTGGCTGTCTTCTCTTTCCCAATAGTGTCCAAGTTTCACTAAACAACTCCCTTTCTGCACAGCCATTTCAGGCTTCACGCTTTATCTTGAGCCAGCGCTTACTTTGATCTGGGTTCTGACAGTCTACAGCCATAAGTAGGATGTCTCATTTCAACGTTGTTCCTTTTCTTTACTCATTGAGCCACATGCTTACGATGCATTTCATAATGAACTTCATTCCTTATGCCTACTTCCACAGGCAAGAAATCCACGTGCGCCAGCTTCTGCTGCTGACGTTCTCCAGATGCCCGGCTCTATTTGGTAACGTTTCTCTTTTGCTGCACTAAACGCGTCTCTCATTTCCTCCCAGCATTCTCGCAAGCTGTGGCCATTTGGGGCAGCTGGGCCTGCTCCAGAGACGTTCCTCTCAGTCGCTTTGCAGGGCTCTTCTGGCTGGTGTGCCGGCAGCCAGGGGGTTTGATCTTCTCAGCACCATCCGTTGTTTTCACCTCTGTTTCAAAGGTCTGCTCTTTCTCAGTGCGGCTATCTACTTATCATTTATTGTTTAGCCCGTTCTCCCTGCAGTGGTTTAGCCCCAGAGTAAACAGAATAATCCCATTTGGTTTTGGGCCTGTCTTTTCAGTAAAGAAAATGTTACAGACAGTGTTATTTTGCGCCTGGGATTCCTGCCAGTTAGCTGCATTGATGGTAAAGATTGATTCTTTGGAAGATACTTTCCTGAAGCTAAGGAAACACTTCTGGGGAGAAAATAAATTTTTAACAGGACGCTTCAAAAATAAGGCTATCCTGAGATCATAAGCCTACTGCAGTTTTAACTAAAAATCTCTCTTGGCTTGTCCACTGGAAGCTCAGCCGCCCTTGGAGCTCGTGGTTGCTGGGGTAATGCACTGCTGTTTGTAACGCTTTCCCCTGGACACCGAACTCGCCACTAGTAGATGGACACAACCCTGTCCTGTGGCATTTGGGCAGGCACTTGTCAAAAGCGGCGAAGCGCAGGCTGAGGCCTGGGCACGGCCCCTTGCTCCGTCTCCTCGAGGCGCAGCACCGCTCCCAGGCCTCCATAATGCACAACACGCGCGTTTCACCCAGGTCATCCGTGCTCGCGCCTGGGAGGTCATTATTTTCTGATAGAGCACTGCGTGTCTTTTGTCCAAAAAAATCCCCCAGCGCCACGACATTTCGTTCGGGGCAGCTTGTGGGCTTTATCTTTGTGGCTTTTCCTTGCCACAAGGACGCCCGGTCTCCAGCCGGACAAGCCGGTGGCTCTGAGGAAGAGCCTGAGGGCACAGCCCCCCAGCAGCCACCACAGCTAGGGACACCCCCCCCCGCCTTTACGCATGCGCGGACGAACGCGCCAGCGCCACCTTCCCGCCCTTTTCGCCACTGCAAGGAGCAGCCCTTGGCGCATGCTCACTCGGAGGAAGCGGTCGTCCGAGGAGAGAGGCGAGTCCCGTCCCACACC